AACTTGGGTGAATGGAATTGAGATTAATGGCTCATGAATTGAGCCTTTCCTTCCATCAGTGGTTTTTTCTGCACTGTTCTTCATACATTGTTGAAGATTCCTCCCAATTGGCCAGTCGTGTACTAAAAAAAAATTAAAAAGCAGAATTTTGATGAGGAAAATGCCAAATAAACATTGCATTTTGTAATTATATTGCCTACAAAATTTATCTTTTAAACCATAATTGAGTATATTAGATGCAGACTTACTTGAAAAATCACAAATTTTTGCTTTTGTGCAGTAGCACCATATGCAAATTTCCAGTCTGAGCAGCAGTACCTTAGGAAAACAAAATGAAAAATGCTTCATTGAGTAAACCATTTCTTGTTTCAAGTTCAATGGATTCTAATTCACAGTACACCTATCCTCTACTCAGACATATAATAAGTTATGTTCATAGCTAGAATATTTACATTATCTCTAGTAATTCATTAAAATACAATTTATTTTTTTGACATGAAATAATTCATTTACCATATCACTTTGTAGTGTATTCCGTCCACCTCAATACCATTTTGTTGAAGGTCATCAACTTGTGCAAACACAGGCCCAAGACAATTTTTCACCTCTAAATAATCCTCCTTTCCTGTAGAGATATAAATTTACAATATTTAACTTTCAGCGTCTCTTAAAAAGCTAGCATTCTCTATGAAACTGCAGGATTTTAAAATCTCACCATTATACAGAGCGATGGGGTACTGGTGGTCATAGTCATGCCCTTGTTCATTGAGAATATTAAACACAGCCATAACAGTGCCAATTTTATTGCTGGTGCATCTTCCATCAGCAGCAAAGCGCAGGTGGAGTTCGTTGCCATTGGCTTGCACAGTGTTCTTTATACTTTGGATGGACAGCAGCTGACTCAAAATTGCCTTTATATCGCGTCTTACCCCATCTCCTTTTTTAGCCTGTGGTAAATTAGAATGAAGTATTAATTTTTCATTCTCGTGATATACACCTAACTTTAAGTCTGAGATTACAACTATTATTTTTTCTTTGTAATTGAATCTTTGTGATTTCCACACTAGTCAGATTTTATTCACTTTAGTCTCGCTTGGCTTTGGTAGTTAGGTACATGTAGTTAAAATAAGGTACATTTGTTTTCACTGACCTCTGGTATTGAATACAAGGCAATGATCCCATTTTGCCTGTTCCTCTCCTGTTTCAGAACACTGATTGGCGGAAGAATCTCTCTTTCCTCGTCTGGTAAGGCCATCCTCAACTCATGGTATGCCTCGTCTGAAATCAAGCCTTTATCTTTCGCCACAAGTACATGCTGCGTCGTCCGACAAGTGGAGTTATCTTTCTCGTCACCAGCATCGTGTCCAAGTGGAATGACAACTTCACGTCCTTGTACAGTGAACTTAATCTGAAGAAGACGGGGGTTTCCCTTTAAAATTTGTTTTCATATGAACATGGCTAGATAGATAGATTGATCGCCACATAGACGTATGATTTTTTTTCGCGACTTCGCTGTTGGTCAATGTCTAAGTTCTAGTTTTTACGAAAAGGTAAAATTGTTACGTACCTCGATGGGCTCAAACTCCTTCAGTCCTTCCACCGATTGAGCCACAAGTTGCCTGACTCTTCTTTTCTTATTATTTCTGGCTACCGGAGTTAATTGCCAAATAAAAAACACTTTTAGTCTCAATAATTCTCTGCTTTTGCAGTAGTTTTTCAGCATTTTCTTGTTGAAGCTGAGCTAAGACTTCATTCAGCTGATTTGCCATGGTGTTGTGCTGAATTTTCAAATTGCGATTCTCTTCCCGAAGACGTCTTATCTCGGCCTCATAAACATCTATAAGAGATGGCTGTGTCTGTACCAGCGTGCAACTCTGTTCTCGATTGTGATAAAAATGAGTTTGAATTTACCTCGTGAATTTCGCTATTGTAATGGCAGCGAGTTTGAATTTCCCTCGTGAATTATTAAGCCATTGTTTGGCTCTAAAGCTATTGTTTCAAGATATCCTTTTATGGATATTTGAGATACTAAACAAAGGGCATTGTCTTTGAATTTGACCAGCTTCTCTTGATACGTTTTTGTACAGAATTTACCGACTTAATAAAAGTAGATTTAGATGTAATGAGATGTCTTTATGGAATATTTAACAAGCGCAATTTTCGAAAAACAATTAACAGCTTTGCACGTAGTCCGTACATTTCATCTTTTTAACTAATGTGTGTTCATTTTGGTGACAAAAATGCGGACCGAGACCAAAACTGTTTCCTCTACTTCATCTATTTTCAACGTTCAGGGGTGTATACTCACTGATTTTCACATATGTGCCTTACATGGTTATTGGCTTACATGAGGAACCGGCGAATTTTTATCGGGAAAAGCGAAGCGTTGCTTTCGTGACTGGCCATTTGTTTACTTTCATCTGTCTGGTGACTCCGCAAATTTTAATATGTGAAAATCAGACTTTAAAAACAAAAGATATCAAGAAACGGGCATGGAATATTTCACAAAAGTACAAATGATCGTGAAAGATGAAGGTTACAAATATTTTGCTGGTAGAGCAACATGCATTTGATGCCTGATTATGCCGACCCAGCTACACTCCGCCCCACAAACACACGCACACACCAACAAAAAGGACACTGTCTACCTAATGAGGACATTACTAAGCTTATGGATATTCTAAAAAAAGAAGCTTTTCCTTGCCCATTTCAGTAATCGAAAAGATTATAAACCGTTACATCACTGGGACCCAAAGCAATCATCATCTCGGGGTTCCCTTCCCACCACTTCACTTGCGTTTTACTTTAAGCTACCCTACATAGGCCATTTTTCTGATATCACTTAGAAAAAGATCCGCCATTTTATTGAGCGCTATTGCAATGACTTGGATATCAAGCTAGTTTTCTCTTCTTTTAAGATTGGCAGCTTGTTTTGTGTGAAAGACCCTGTCCCTGACGGGCTCTGTTCACATGTGGTCTATAAGTTTGTATGTGCCGGCTGTAATGCTTGTTACGTAGGCGAGACGTGCCGGCATCCCCCCACGCTTGTTAGAGGGCACTTAGCCAGTGACAGGGCCTCTCACATTTTCAAACAACTGCAAAATTCTGGACACTGTCGCACTTTGTGTTCTGCAGATAGCTTCCATGTTTTGGATCACGCCTCTACCGGTTTTCGACTTAAGATAAAAGAGGCTATTCATATTCAAAGAGAACAACCCTCTTTGAATCAACAATTACAATTTTAAACCATACTTTTAGTTCTCACACTTTCACGCTTGCCTCTTTCTTGTTGTCACCACTTAGCATAATTAGCATTTTTCTACTTATTATAAATTCAACTTTCAATGCTATGATTATTAATAAGTTAACTGAAGTTGACAAAAGTTTCTGTCGAAACATGTTTTACAAACTTAAAAGTTTTGTCACTCTCTTCAAATACTCAGAGGGTTAATTTAACTCAATAAACAATAGAGTAGAGTTAAAGGGTGCCTGGGGACTGAAAGATGTGAAATGATTTTTTAAAAAGTTTTCATCTCATTAATTACGAATATATAGTTCCAGTTCTCGGAAACGTTCTTGTCCTGCGTTTTCTCATAAATGTAATTGCGTGAACGAATATTTCCGCACTAATATCGTCGATAAAGAATTTATTTTCATTGATACCAAGACTGATGCAGCTTGCTGTTGAGGAGCGAATTATGTAGATGAGTCAATTATCTGCATCATATTCATAATTGATGAGATGAAAACTTTTTAAAACCATTTCACTATTTCATCTTTAGCTTTCCATTTCTTGGGATAAGTAGGATGTCGACAAACACTTCTTCAAGTAACCCTCACTCTTTGACTCTGTCAAACTGCACGAGCGTGTGATGTGGCCATATCTACAGGCTATAACCTAGATATATATAACAACTATACATGAAAAAATATGAAGCATTACCAATGTAATCTCAATCTTTTTGTAACAAATAGCCAAATTCACTGCTATGGTACCAGAAAGGACACTAATTATCGAACGCATTTGTGTCGTACAAGTCTGAAGCAATTCAAAATTTTTGAAGTCTCTTCCTGTTTCAGTCCCACGTTCGTCAAATATTCTTAGCATTAAGACGAAAATACGAGCGCTTTTACTTAAATAATCATTGAACTGGCTAAGCCGCACGTTCGCAGTACTAATTCGAATTCAAATACATTTTGTAAGTCAGGAGGCCTCTCCCATAAGCTCGGTGGCTTCCTGAGTCACGCCTTCAATAAATTTTATTGCTGTAGAAAGTTTTTATTTGTATTGTTAATAAAGCAAAGAAATGATAATGGTTATAAATAATAAACTGAATTAATCAAGATTTACGACATTTCATGCACAAACCCTGAGGAGACAAAGTCTTACTCGCTCTTACATATTTGAAAACAACAGCGTGCAAAGGAAGTTGTGTCCGATAGCACGGAGCAAGTGGATTTTGCGATCGGGCTGGTGAAATCTACGCTTGACTTGCCCGGGGGCAAGTGAAGATTTTCGAAGAATTAAAATTACAGAAGTGTTGTAAGACAAATGCTCTAAATTCCTAATAAATTCATGCGGAGCGAAAGTCGCTCCGACGAAGTGAAGTCTGCATAAACAAGACGTATCGCATTTCATGTCAGACGAGACATACTGAGTCCTGTGCATAAAGTAAAAGCAGATATTGAAAACTTTGGAGGTAATTGTTACCCGTGAATAATTCTTACTAATTCAGAGAAAGGTATTTGTCTAAATTTTGCTTCATAATTATTTGTGAGGAACGTAAACAAAAGGATTTGATCCTGAACTCCAGGGAGAAATTTATTATGGTTCCAGCAAATATTGGTCACGTGCGTCTCAATATGGTAAATTCTACGCACCGATACCGTAGGCGTTTGTTAATAAAAATATATAGACCACATCGTATTGTCTTCACTTTGAAAAAATTCTACAGTGTGGAAGCGCCAAGAGCAAAAATGCGCTTTTATTTCTGCTTGCGAAAAATTTTTTCGGGCTAGTAAAAATGACTTTGGGCTGGTACATGTTAATTACAGCTTGCCCGAAGGGCAAGCTGTTAAACTGACTTTCTTTGCACCCTGAAACATGACATATTCAAACTTCAGATACTATTTCAGGATATGAACGTTAAAAGCAGCTGGCGCGAAATTTTGATTTGCATGCCCTCTCATGTTTTAGAGAATAAAACAACATAAATAGGATGTATTTTTAGTCTGTCACTGTATTTTTAGTCTGTCACATGCAATTTTCTCATAAGTCTAGAGAATGTTTTCCGGCGAATAAACCTGGTTTAATGACTTAGCTGCATTAACCAAGAGCAACCCTAACCCTAACCCTAACCAAGAGCCCCACATAGATCAGTGGAAAAGAACATCCGAAGCAGTAAGCCGACTCTGAGCAAAATTTCGTCGATTTGACGTCTGTTGGGACACTCAGAATTTTTTCTTTTTCCAAGCACTGATGTCTGCGTTAATTGAAAAAAATATTACACCAGTAGGTTCGCTATTATGAGTTACTGTTGTCTGTAACAGCCTTTCAGCCCCTTTACTATCGACATTGCAATCCCTCAGCTCGTAAATTTCTGGAGCAATATCTCATAATTCCCAATTTACATATTTTTTTTTCAGCCTGTGGAGCTGTTGTGATATGTCGTCCAAAGGAAATGTCGATATCTCTTCCCAAGGCCTTGCTTGCCAGAGTTGCCCGAGAGGACCTCCGCCTGCTGGACTCTAACTGCATAGCAACAGAAAATGCCACACACTTTGTTCTTTCGACATCTCTGATTGGATGCAGCACATTTAATAGACACACTGACAGCAGTGTAATATACAGCAATAAGGTTCGACAAGTTTACTCTGAGACAGTGATCATAACACGGGATCCAGATATTCAGATTTCTTCCAGCTGCCATTATTTTAGACACGGTTAAGTGTTAACTGGTGCAATTCGTTGAGGACCCCCACAAAAATCTAGTTAACAGCGGAAAGGCGAAGAAAACTTCCAACTCTCCCTAAATTTGTTTTCTGATAAAATACTCGTGTGCTTGCATGAGGAATGACTTCCTTGTTGTTGTGGTACTGCGCGACTGTCTGCTGTTTGAAGTTGAAAAAAAAAAAGACAAGTCCCGTATGTATTAATAATCGAAAAACATTGACTGTAAATAATTTATCAGCAGAAGATTACTGCTCAGAGCCTAGGCAGCTCCCAATTGTTTTACTTATAAAATTATTTATTCAAGAAGTATCGTTGTGTTTTAAGTCAAAAATGGGGAGGGGGACAAGGGGGCGGGAGAGGACGGGAGAACAGGGGGCGGGAGAGGGCAGGAAGGGGGAGAACAGGGGGCAGGAAGCGGGATCTGTGTGAGGGAGGGAAGCGGGAGCAGAAATAAAGAAGGTGATCGTTTGTTGTTTATTACTGGGTATTATTCAGTCAACGACACTTACCTAGAAAAGTTTTGAAATTTCCATTTAACATCCACCAATGCTTAAAAGAAAATTTTGGAAGCAAGAAAACGTAAATTTAAATGTTTGCTTCACTTGCACTCAAACTGAACGCTCAAAATGCAAACAGTTCAACGATTGATGTGCAGTGATTTAAATCATCCTTTGGAGTCAGCTTTTTTATTTGCTCAAGACTAGCTCACGACTAGCTACGACAAGTTACTTACGTCAAAAATGGAAAGCAAGCACGGATACAGGAGAAGC